CGTTTTTATTAAAAAAAAAAAAAAAAAAAGAAAACTTGCACTCGCTACTATTTGCAACGAGACGTTCGGAAATTTCAGATCGAACTTGCGCGTCTGGGCTGTTGACAGTGGAAAGCAAAGAGACAATTTCAATAACTTCATAAAGCTGGAGTAGTCGTACTCGTATCGTTCGAGGTTTGACGAACATGACGTGCGTCTGAACGTCACTGTTGCACGATACGTTCTTCGTATCTCTTTGTCCTTGCTTTCTTTCGTTGCACATTGCTTACGGCGCGGCGCACGTGAACAAAATAAAAGAAACGGGATTAGGAAAGAAGTCGGCGGCGAGATAAAGTGAAATTACGGGGCAACGAGAGAAGAGGCGGCCGTACACTTGGTACAAGTTTCATAGCAACCGGGAATACCGCGTGAAGCGAGAACAATAAAGCGTTTCATTCCTCTATAAACAAATCTTCATTCCGCCGTTCTACCGGCCGTGCTCGAAAAACTAAAGAAACGCTAAATCAAGAGGGCTTTAAACTTGGAAGAAACCACGGCACAATAAGTCGGAGTGAAGTTCGAATTTAACGGCGATTCGTACGGGAGAGGGTGCCCAATTCTCTCTTTCTCTCTCTTTCTCTGCCCCACAAATTATTACATATCTTGCGATTTATATGGGAAGACGACGTGTGTGTGCGTGTTTTCGCATAAATTTTTTGCCCAGCTGAAACACACCTCGACCTGAATTTTTCTCTTTGTCGGACGAAACGACAAACAGATGCCTGCCGTCGTCAATCGGTTTTCTAACGAAATCTCGAATCAGCCGGCGGAAAATACAGATTACGAGCGCGCGCGATGAATTCCTGGCGTCCATTGATATGGTAATTTATATTCACTTTATCGAGCGAGTGCTCGCTCGTATGCAAAAATGAGATTTCGAAGTTACGCGAAGTCACGACGTGTCGTGCGGAAGATTCTCGATCGGTTGCATCATTTTCTGATATCGAGTATATTTCATCGCGTCTTGGGAACCTCGAGGCGGTCGGCGTCTCGACGAAAGAGCTTTTTTCCCCCCTTTTCTCGAAGAAGACGCGTTAAACTTGCTCCGACGAACAACAGTGTGTGTGTGTGTGTGTAAACGGAATTTTTAAACAAACTGAACACTCGAAATCGACGTCGAATTTGAAACGTTGCATTTGAAACGTTTCGACCGAGCAAGGCGAACTCTAATCCAACTATTTAACACCCATACTCGACGATAATCCTCTGACGAGCAATTTTAATAACCCTGTAAGACCGCGACAAGAGACACTTACTCCACCCGACACTTTTCTCTCACTTTCCATCTTATTAGCTCGCCGCTTTGTCCGAGGAAGGCCGCTGAAGGTTGTTCGATAACTCCGCTTTCCCTGACAAAGAAAATTCCGTGCACGAAGAAGCGATAAAACAAAGGACAGGCAAACAATTGATAACTAGTTTCAATAGACCGTCAAATGCGAACGAACACTATTAATTACCTATAACAATTGTCCATTAATCTTCGCGGACGTTTATTGAAATCACAGAGATATTGCGACCGCGGACCCGGCGTTGATAAACGAACATTGAAATTTCCGTTAAAAATTATCATGGAAATGCGTTCCTCTTCTTTTAATTGTTCGTCAGTTATATATATATATATTGCGCGTATATTTCGCTCTCGATGTTGCGTATATTTGCGTTTAATTTGCACGATATTCTTCACGAGAGGGGAAAATGGAACATTTAGCGTAATTACGATAGAACGCAACGACGGCTGACGGTTTAAGTCAGCATGAATAATTAATTCAGCGAATCACTGTTCCAGCGCAATGTCGTTATGTCGCGCTAGCATCTCATTGTTGCTTTATCGGCGTGCGATTATCATTAAATTAATATCATTTGTTCATTAGCTCTAGTCGTTTCGTCCGCGTATCCGTTCTCTCAATTTGTCGTGTACAACACGGAGCGTACATTTTTTTTCAGTTGACGCCGATAATTCCTGAGTTCTTTCGCGTGAGAAGATTGTCCCACTCTTTTCTCGTATTTTGCGTATTTGTCGTAGCCGCTAATATCTTCGCTTAACCAAGGAAGAATGGAAGCTATTTCAACGGAACACATATGCTTCTGTACAGGATGTCGTTAAGACGTTTAGGCTAGCTTTCTGCTAATTACGACAATAAACTGTCTGTCAGTTACATCAAGGAATTTGTCCGGAGATGCAATAAGTACCAGCTCTTGCATTATTCATATTTAATCTCTTGACGTCGAGAATTTTTTGTAATTGTAATATTTTCTCAGTTACATTCAAGTAAAACAAAATAGACGAAACAAATAATAAATTTATTACTTCACAATAATTTCTATTCAGCGATAACCGACGAGTTTAAAAAGAAAGCGACCAGTTGTTGTATAGAGTTTGGTCACTCGTTATGGTCCGCGAATCAGTTGGCAGCGCAAGTGGTTAAGGTTCCCGAAAGAAATGAATTATTGTTGAAATTACGATTGAGATCTCGAAGATTGTGACTGTGATGCTTGAGAAATAGAATAGAAGTCAGGAATTGAGGAAGCCAGAAGAATTGCTTGCAAAGAGCAACTCTTTTAGGATACTGAATTTTCGCAATTCACAGCTAGAAGAAAGTTTATAGACGTCTGAAAGTTTCTCATCGTGAAAATTTTTCTTATCGTCAACAATGTTTTTATATTTATATTTTATTTGAGCTGTGCAATTACGTCGATTGTGTTGTTTTGTTGTTCGACGAAATCGCAGCGGCGTTTTTACTGCTCTGTTCCAAATTGTTGTTGCTGCTGCTCCGTCCGCGCTCGGTGGCTTTTGCGTACAGCATAATCTAGTTTTTTATGCTGCACGGGAAATGTTAACTACGAGTATGCACGCGACACGCCGCGGCCGCGAATATACCGTGAAAAAACGCGCGTTGTCGTCGTCATAACTGTTAGTTCTACGAGCACTGCGTGCGCGTCCTCGTTGAAAAACGGTGAAAAAACGCGTCGTGTAGAAAAGTTGAGGGAGCTTGTTCGATGGCAACAGCTTCCGGCAAATCTTTCATCGTATTTTATCCTAACGTGATATGCGAGGCGGGGGGGTGGGGGCTGGGACGTGCAATCCGTTTTCCGTGGACGAAATTAGCGCGACGCCGCGTGACACCGTGTATTTACCCACGCATACACTCAATGCACATTGTCGTCGTTTAAAAAGCGTCGCGCCTAAATGAAATCAAGTGCGTCTCATTCAGCTGCTTGTGAATCGATTTGCTACATTTAGCTTCGCGTGTCGCTAATGAGCGGTATTTCAACCGCGTCCGGCTGTTCTTCGACTTCAGCCGCGATTAGGTGCCATTTTCCCGACATCGTCCCTACTGAAACGTTGCTTAGATTACTTACCACGAATATGTTCCGTTGGCCAGTATAAGTTTGTGCGATTTTTTTTCCAAGTAAATGACAGAAAACTTTTTCATGTTAAACAACAACTTTATTCAAGAATGTATTGATCATTTTAATCCATTATTTCTTGCCATCTTCCTGGTAGTTTTATAATTCCGCGCTCCAGAAGAAATAAATAAATTCATGTCTAATTATTATAAAATATCTTCCATATAATCTTAATTTCGTTATCAATATTATTCTTATTAGTATAATTCGTATATGAACAATTGGAGGAATAGTAACAATTAATTTTCTATCTAATTGATTTTTCTATCTAATTTCTGTTAATTATCTAATTGAATCTATCATTATTTAATTTTATGTCTATCATCAGAACAGAAATTTAGCGAGCCACTTTTGGTGCATCTTTATCAAACGCATCACAAATTTTTTACGCGCTTGCGTCGCATTTTTTCCCTTTTTAAAATGATTGTTTTGATTTTCCATTTTTAAATTGGACACGCTATGAAAAAAAAAAAAAAAAACACTTGACCAATCTGCGCACTATTTTTCAAAAAACGTAAGCTCGAAATGTCTCAAGTTTGCTTACATTTTACAGCCGAAAGGACAACTGTCGAAAACGACCGCACAGACTTATTGGCCAAGCTAATATTTTGTACGAAGCGAGAGATACGACAAATGAAAAGTTCCATCTGTTTTTTCGTTTTCTTCCTTTTTTAAATTCTATATTGGCGAAACGATCGTGTATCGTGACGGCGCAATGACGTCTGAAGTCAAGAGACTCATTAATTTCCAAAACCGTCCGATCGATTTGCACGCGAAACCCATTCGCAGCAGGTTGCTGTTTCCGGTGTGGCTGGATACGTAATCACAGGGGAGATCCATATGTCCGTGACGATCGGATTGTCAATCAGTAAACGTCACTTCCGTTAAAAACATCGGCCGCCGTGGAATCGCGGCGCCTCTCGATCGGTTTCCGCGCACATCGGTTTTCGATTCCGGCCTCCGAGTTTCTACGATCGGACCACCCCTCGATATTGGTGCTAATTGGGCAAGTGATTTGGAACGAATTGAACTCGCGAATGTTTCGATTTGTATTTTTTCCTTCTCCCTCTCCCTCTCTCTCTCTCTCTCTGTCTCTTTTTAATCAGCGCAATAAAGAAAAAAAAAAACGGAACAATCAACGTTGCATAACGAACAACAATAGCAACGTAACAAGAAATCTTTGGCAACAGATGGAACAACGTTTCGATTAATGCCGGTGTCCTCCGTCGTGGTCGTTGCCGTTGCTGTTGATAACGTGAGCGAAAAACCCATCCTTTCCAGCGCGATATTTCACCGTACGAACGTTACCGCCGGGCTCTTTTATTGTGTACTCGCCGACCACTTCTTTGCCTGCAAAGAACCAGCAATAAAGTATTATCGAAACGTTGTCGGGGCGGGGAGGAGGGGGGGGGGTGACAAGCTTTTCCCGAAATAATCAAAGTCGATTGATAATTCACGCTTGTAATTGCCCGCGGTCTGCTTTTGTTACCAGCAAAGAGAATCAATGGGAAATTATAATTAGTTGTTCTTCAGGTAGAAGCAACTGATGTATCAATTCCATTTTAGATGGTTAATTGCAATTTATATAAATACGAGGAACTTTAGGAGAGGAAATTGCAATTTCCTCGAGGGAACGCGAATATTTTAATGCTCGTGTGCGGATGAGAAACGAAGAAAAAAAAAAAAAAAGAAAGAAAAAAGAAGACGAGCTATCGAGTAAGTAACATATCTCTATCGTATGGATATATCAAAATACGGTTATCTTTAGTTGCTGCAGTTACTTCGTTTCACGATGCATTGCGTGGAGCTTGGGGATATCAAGCTCGCGCGCAAATACTCGCTCATAGACGAGGTGTAGCTAGTTGGCAGATTAATATGGCAGAACGTAGTAGATTCGTCAGCAGCGACGTAGGTATTGCGAATTATTTCCAAGGTAAATTCCCTTCGCCCGCAAATAATCAAGGTAACCATTCACGCTTCTCGTCGCGGTGGCGGCGAGAGCGTCAAACGCATTCCGCGACACCGATATTGTTCTTTGAGCATTTCAGCTCAGTGATTTCCATCTTTGGATCTCCTAATGGATCCTTACGTGACACTGGAATCAAGTTAAATCGAGACGTTGCCTCGAACACCGAGGATTACCTAATAAGTAATTACTTTCTTCGCACAATGTTACGATCCTGTTAACTTTATTAAGGAGTCGGGTTAGTTAATGATAGAATTCGTAAACCATGGGAACCTTAAAGTAGACGTGTTAGAGAGGTGCACCAGGAAAGGAAAATTTATCGTTCTTTCTCGTTCGTGCGTTTAAAGTGCATGGTTTCATTTAAAGTTTGATTCTCCTTCGTATCCTAAGAACGTACAGCTGATTCTACGTGAAAAATGAACGGAAGAGAAAGAATGAAATTGTTTTCATTAAAGTCTTCGTTTTCGAGCTTGAAAATTCGGCCACGCATAGTTGAATTTGATTAATCCCGTGCTGGACAGGAGCAAGTAATCGACACGGGGGTATATTCTCCCCGTGTAAAACTTAAGCGAGAAAATTTTTAATTTAAAACTTTATTTTCATGAAAATGGATTTAAAATATGTTTCATTAAGAATTGTCTCTGCGTGTACTGTAATAACATTTTTGTTTCATTTATTTTCCCTCGTGGAATAATTTCCCGTTGATTATTCACCTTCTATCCAATCAAGAAATTAATTTCATTCAAGTACACTTAAGAGAAATATTCAAAGTTGATTATCTCGGTAACGCAGATTTCGGGATGGAAAAATTTTGTTTTTTTTCTTTTTCACTCGTTCTTTACACGCAGACGTCATCGCTGAGAGTTCGCGTGATACCCTGCACATTGCAAATAACATTCTCGCTAATTTTCCATTGCACCGAATTTAAAACTCGAAGCCACTCGACAGTGTTTCTATTCAGTACCTATTAAACTATCTACCGGAAACAAACTCCTCGACTTTCCGACGTTCGAGGGTCATTAATGTAGGCCACCGTCTGGCTTTAATTAGGCCGATTACGTAGAAACGAAGGTGGAAAAAACCGTGGATGTTAGAAGACTCGCGGCAAACTCTCGAGTTTGAAAGTGTGCGCGAGACGACTTTCCAAAGCGCTCTATGCGCCCGGGACGTCTTTCGAATTGCAGTAAACTAATTAATCCTCGCCCAGCCGACGCCGTGCTTCTTTGACCCGTTTGATTCATGTTTGATATCGCTCAATTCCGTTCTTTCTTTGTTTTTCTTTTTAATTCTTAGCTGAATCTCTGTATAAAAGAAATGTCGAGAAACGAGTCAGTGATTTCGACCACGCATTAACATGATATATGTACATACATCGGCTATTAAATGCAACTAATCAGAGTAAACATTATTGGGAGTATATGCAGTTAGTGACTACAAATTTCACACAAATTGATCTGTAAAAATCACAAAATAAAAGAAAATATTCGGTATTATACGTACGGAATATATTGCAATACGTAATAAAATGTATGCACATATTTTATAAATGTATTTACATTTACATTTTTAAGAAATTCTTAGCCATTCATATTATGAGCAATGTTTCAGCTACATAAATCTGGAATATAGACTTATAATAAGTGAAATATAGACTTATATTCAGGTTTGAGTTACAGATTTTACGATCCACTATCAATCTGTTATTTGTTTTCATATTCTCCGAAGGTTAAAAGACACGACTTACAGTTTTCCGTGAGCAGTAGTGGGAAAGTTTAAACTTCAGACCAAAATTCGACACATTGAAACTTCTCTTTCGATATGCAACTTACAATTTTTTCCACTCCTCCGTGAATGAAGATCAAATTGTTATTACTTTGGCTGTAGGTAGAATGATTGCAAGAATAAAAGCAATGATCAGTTACTAAATAGTAATCATAATAATCATAATAATAATTAATTGAAAAATGAATCTTGATTAATTTTTGTAATTTTGTAATCATTAATCGGTAATTTTTAAATCATTAAGTCATTAATTTGTATTTTATTACGATCAGTAATACGTTCTTTCTTCACATTGCTGCGATACGTTCAAACGTCAATCTTATCGAGTTATGTTAGTCAGGATAATTAAATGTAAAATAAAAATTTGGGTAGTAGATCCACTAGTAGACCAAGACCAAGTAGAGAGAATATTTACGCGTATTTTTTGCTGTATGATATCTATATGCCTGAATTTAGAATAATTTGCTAAAGTTTATAATTTTTTGACATATTTTTGTTATACATAGGAATGAGTACGAATCATAATGAAGAATCTCAAAATTTTGATCATTCGGCAAATTTATTATCAAAGTACATCTTCATCAAGTCGTATTGAAAATTGTGCGAATAACGATTCAAGAAAATAATATAGATGAAACTTTCAATTGATGGAAAATTCCTGATAAAAATTGTAGGATTGTGCGCATTGCAAAATGGAACAAATAATAAACACGTAGTTTCTATGTACACAGTGTTGTTTGTAGAAGTAAACTATTGATACAATCATAATCAAAAGTGTAATCATGTGATCAATGATTTTAATTACTTATCTTATTCATTAATCATATATTCATGATTTCCCATTAATTGTAATCGTTAATCATTCATCAGATTACGTTTTACTCAACTTTGAATAAAAGTGTAATAATAATGTCATTTTTGCTCACAGAGTAGTTTAAAATATCGTTTGTCGACTTTTTTCAAGACACTGTATCATAATTTGTCGCTGTGATTATCGAATTAATAATAATAACGTAGAATATTTTTAATCTGGTGATACGGTCGAAACGAGGAAAAATATATCGGAAAGAAAGAATAAAATTTTTTCACTCGAGGCTTCGTTTCCGAGAAAATCGAATTTAAAAGTTTATTAAGGATATTTGAATTTAATTAATGTTGGATTGGACAGGAACGGGTAATCCACAGGAGGTTATTCTACTCGCGAAAATAAGTCGAAAGCGTAGAATACAATTTTCTCAGTTTTAAATAAAAAGTTAAAATTGAATTAAAAATTGAATTTGGAACTTGATCGTGTATTCACGCCGTACCAAATTGATTCTTGACCAAATACATTGAAGCTCGATTTTCTGGGGAACGAATCTATTAAATGAAAAAACTCTGTTCTTTCTCTTCGATTTCACTTTACGTGGAATTATATTTTTCTCGTCGAATCGAAAACAGCTTGTATTTTTATTGTCGATGATAACTCTGCGTGCAAGTTACAGCAACTTTTCTTTTTTTTTTTTTTTTTTTTGACAGGCAAAGAGATTAATTTCCTTTCAGATTACGCTCGACGTACCGTCTCTATGCTCTTTCTGGCCATGATAGTCGCCGGTGTGATGGTCCTCGACGCCGTACGAGAACTCGTAGTGCGGATGTGCCACGTAATCGTGATGGTGGTGACCGTGCTTGTCTTTCCAAGTCACCTCTTGAGCATCCCCTATCACAGGTCCGTGGAAATGTTGGAAAGAGTGCGCGTGACCGTCAGCGTCGACTTCCCCGTTGAATAAAACTGACAGGGCCAAAATTGCTGCGACGAACTATCGGCGAAACAGTTAATTTCGAATCAATTATATACGTGTTGAGAATATTCTTTTACGAGTACGCTTTGTCTCTACAAATTTTGGAAAAACGAAAATTTTTAGAACGAGAAGCGTTTGAAAGAATTTCGTGTCTACATAGTGATCGGCCGATGTCACAGGCAAAATCGATAGAAGTAGCAGACTAGCTGGTAGACTGTGACGATTCTGTTGACGCGTTTCGATCTACAGTTAAACGATTGATCGGTCGCGTCGCTTGGACATTTACCTATCACCGATTAGACAAAAATGAGGAATGGAGGAGGCTCGATCACGCGATGTACACTCACTTTAAAAGCCATATCACTGTCGACTGGGTCGGGCTCTGCTACGGCAGAACAGATAGAATATAGATCGAACGATCGATACGGTTCTTTCGCGATTGTCCGAAAACTGAATAGGTCGGTCCGATGATATTGTTCCTTTTATAGGTCCACTTTAAAAGTTTCCCTCAGCTTAATTCTTCTTTGGATCCATGCCCGGAACTTTGCCGCTGCAGACGTTGCAAAACACAATTATTCAAGCGGGCCGTGGCCGCAAAAAGCGTCGCGCGGTGCTCGCTCGAGCGCGCATTAGCCAATCCGGGCACGCTAATGGAGTCCGTTGGGAAAGAGGACGAAAAAATGGAACGCAGGAAAGGCATTCGTTTTCTTCGGCCGGGCGACACACGCGGTATCGATCACCGGATCGATCGCCTGCTACTCGTCATGCACGATGGACCCTGCAGATTGTGCTACGAGTTTCGACTTTCTTCTTCTTAGCGTCTGTTGTTCGCGGCTGCCGCGATCGCACGCTCCATTTCGCCCGGAAATCTCAGCTCGAGATTATTCAGAGCCACGGCTATCGTAACTTAACAAAGCTACGCTATGTTCCTCTGTTTCCGCGTATTTTCGCATCGTGTCATCCACCCTTAACCTCCTCTTGCGTTGGAATGACGTGCCACGCACGTCGAGAATTTTTTTGTACCAAAATTGCAATATTTTCTCAGTTTTAAGTATATTTATTTTATTATATTTATATTTTATTATAATATATTTAATATATATTTATTTTATTTTATAATATAATATTACATATAACATGTATAATATATATATATATAGTATATTTATTTATATAATAATATAATAATATAATTTATTACTTCTCAATAATTTCTATCCAGTGATATTACACCGACGAGTTCGAAAAGAAAGCGACGAATTGTCGTACACGATTTGGTCACTCGTTACGGTCCGCGAATCAGCTGCCAGTGGTCGCAAGTGGTTAAGAGATGTGAACGAGCACGTGCTCGGCACATGCTTCAATGTAATCGGCAACGTACAACCAGCTTAGGTGGCTCCAGCTTAGTTTAGTTTACGACAAGTTGGACTCTTATTTTTTACGCGTTGGAAAAGTTTTCGAGCTAGCCGAGATTCTTTAGGAGTACGTAGGAAACTTTTCGCGAAGCGAAATAAAGTCTGAGATACAGTGTCAAACACTGGCGCTCGCGTTCACGAACAAAAAGCTATTTTCACGTTCGATGGGATTGTGGATTGTTAAGTGCACGACGTTGTCTGGGAAGGGAAAAAAATCGTGAAAATAAATTCGCGGGAAGGAATTTTTTTTTTTTTTTTAGTTGGGCGAGCGATCCTTGCGTTATTAACAAAAACTGCAGGATTCTATCTGGCCTGTCGCAGGAGTGAAAACGGTTCTCTTGCCGGCAGAGAAAACGGAACGGAGAGATGAAAAGAGGACGGATTCTGGCACGCGATGTGCTGGAGCGGCGGAAGTGCTCGAAGAGGCGCTCGGCTTTTGAGTTATGACACTTTTTGAGTCGAGAAGTCGCGATGTGAATGGCGCATCCGGGTCCAGCGTAATATCATAGCTCGATCTCAGGGTTGGACCCGGCGATAAATCTGCCTTAAATAAGATTTGCCGAGGGCACACTCTAGCGAAATAAAACGAACGGGAACCGAGTCGAGAGGCAGCGCAGGAAGTTTTACTTTCCTTCGACGTCGCATAGCCGACGTGAGCGATTGCTAATTTTCAGTCGGCAGCTTAATAGAAACCGTCACAAATACCTGACAAAATATCGTATCCTTTGAGCACGTTCGAGTATTTTTCCACTGAATTTTCGACCCGACGATATTTTCGACTGGTGCTGTTAGTGACACCTAATTACTAACTCTCGTTTGCATTGGCCCGCGCGTTCGCGACGCTTGGCAAAATTTTTCTTATCGGTGAAATTGCCTTGGCTGTCAATTTCATTGGCTCGTGTTTTATGCTACGTGTGACGCACACGTGTGCCCCATGCGCAAATACGCGATGCTCGAGCTCGTATTCATATTTCAATCTCGCGGGACGAACTCTTGCAATACAACGCGCCGCCTATTCTCGCAAACGAGAAAATTGGCACACCTCGCGCGATAAATCACCGAGTTCCATGAGTGATAGATACATTTCCAAATGTTCTTACTTTTAGCTTATTTGCTTCGAGTTTCCTTGTTGTTCGCGTATATGTCACGCGCGAGATAGTATGAGATCGTTATTCGAGCAGTGATGCCATAGCGAGAAGGATTCTGTGGTGGATTTTGCCATCATTATTTGTCGCATGTTCGTCAATGATTTTTATCATTTTTTAATATCTCATTTGGCAGTAAGAAAACATAGCAATAAACAGGCGAGGCGGATTAATGTCAATTTAAGACTTAATCACTTTTATTCCATCGTTTTCTCGACGATCTACCAAGGAGGAAAAATCCATAAAATAATTTTCCCAATTCTCCCGTTCAAAACTTCAGACATGACCGAACTATTTTATCTGAAAATTCAGTTTTCTCTTAGTGTTAGTTAATATTCGAAATTGATCGATCGGTCTTGGTCAAACGATTTCGCCGTTTGCGAGCATTCGTCGCAACGTGAGGTCACGCACCTAACCATCTTCCTTTGTCTCGTGAGCATGCAATCGCAGCGGTGAAGCTTTAGGTGCGTAAAGCACGCGTACGGCGAAGAAAGAGACGGAAGCGGAAAAGGAGAGAATGCAAGGTTCTGTGTTAGCAGATGTTTTTTTTTTTTTCTGTGCACATGCCAATGATTGCCAGGTAATATCGCGATACGGGGAGCAGACAGTAGGGAAGAAAACCGAGGGGTAAATCCCGAGATTAACGTCGTGGTTGTTGTCCACATAACGCATTGGTACACTCTTTCATCCTCAGCCGCACACACGTGCGAGTCGATCGCAACGAGCCATACGAGGGATAATGATCGCGTTCCAAGTATCGCCGGAACAAATTCCGCGAAGATAGAGTTCCGGGTAGAGAAAGACGAATAGTTCTATTTGCGAGTTGCGGGCTGCACCGACCTCGTCTTCGTTTCCTTTCCGTTCTCTTCGTTGTGTTTCGTTCCAGCGACGTACTCTTCGTATACCTCTCGATTTCGGCGGAGAGCAGAAACGTGGCATTCCTCGCCGGCGTATTTCGCTTGTCGAAGCGTCGACAACCGCTGTTCGTTTATGGGTCACGATCCTCGTTCCTTCGGGATACGCTATCTGGGACTCCTCCTTGACCTCCACTTGCGGTTTAGGAATTCCAAAACAACGAAGACACCGGCTGCAATTCATCCTTCCCTCTGTCTGCCACCGGCGCTCGAAGACGTTCGCTGATACTCGCCCTGACTTTTGATGCAACGATCGTGCAATACTCTGATACGCGTGCGTTTGCACGAACTGCGGCTGGTGCTCGGTTTCCCGTGATTTCGTGAAAATCCGAGGGAAGATGTTTCGCTGAAATAACGAAATTTACAGTTCTAGGAAAATTGAAGTAACACGTTTCTTTGTTTTCTTTCTTTATCGCGTAGCTTCTTATTAATCCTCGAAAAGGGGTACGTTTAATAGAAATCATAAATTCATGGAATACTTACTTTCTTTCCTCATACAGCGTGTCTCATTTTAATCTATAAATGCAATTATCTTTGAGACTATTCATCATTTAAAGGATAATTATGTAATTTTTTTTCATCAGACGCAGCAAGTCATTTCCTGTAAAAAGATATTAACCTACATATATCGAAAAGCTATTGTAATTTACAAAATCTGTCGTATGAAAGACGAGAAAGGGCAAGAGCAGTATTCTTGTATACTCCTTTTATGCATAGATTTTGTAAAAAAAATTATTCTTCTTAATAGGTTTTGGACGTAGATAAATTAATACTTTTTTTGAACGAGTAGCTGCATCGATTGATGCAAACAAAATTACACAATTATATTTGAAAAAATAATAGTGACCTTCGTATCTACAAATTACTCTCAGAACAGAAAAAAAAATGCACTTGAAACGTTTCCTAAGTGACGAATAGTTTCAGAAATAATTGCATTTGCATGTTAAAATGAAACGTACTGTATAATGCTGCAATTTTCACTAGATGACGCTTAGCATTCGAGCCGAAAGTGACTTTCGGGGCAATCTTTTCGAGGGTAAATCATTTTTCTAGAAACACACAGAACACAGCCGAGTTCCGTCTCTGTCGAATAAACGACCGAGGCGAAAAGAATTTTGAAAGATCTCCGGTAATATTTTTAGGTGCGACCGAACGAGTTGGACACATTCCAGCGTTCTCTCTTCACGCGTTCTCTCCGCTGGCGGATATAGTTTGGACATTTTCCCTGATACCTCTCTGGCTGTTGGCTCCGCTAACGAGCCGAAGCATTTTCCTTGCTAATTTTCCAAGTGTCCCGATTACAAGCTGATAGCCGACGCTTGGGTCACGCCGGTGTCGCCGGTTAATTGGTTTTCATGCCAGCGCCGAAGTTACGGATACCAAGCTTGGATTATCGTGGGTTGTAAACAGCGGTTTCGCCGCGATATACGCCGGCCAGAAGGGGTCACGGCTCTGGCTTTCGTTTCGGAAGGGATGCCCTCCCGCTCGCGTACTTTCGTTGTCGTCTTGTTCGCGCGGTTACTACTTAATTGCCGCGAGTTTACCTTCCGCGACGCGAAGGAAACAAAAAAAAAAAAAAAAAACGGACGCACTTGCAATTTGCTGAAATATATTTAACCTCTTGCGCTGAAACGTGACGCGCCACGTCGAGAATTTTTCGTCCCAAAATTGCAATATTCTCTCAGTTTTAAGTATATTTAAACACAAACCGAGCAAAATAAATAACAAATTTATTACTTCTCAGTAATTTCTATCTAAGTGATGTTACTTCGTACCAGAGTTTGAAACGAAAGCGACGAATCATTGTACACGGGTTTGGTCACTCGTTATGGTCTGCGAATCAGTTGCCAGCGCAACTAAACGTTAATGGAACGTTCTGTCTCAA